CTGAGTGAACATCATCATGGATCGGACGAATGGATACAGCTGAAAAGTCCCAAATAAAACGTGGACCACGTATTTCACCGCTAATAATTATCTAATTATGCTTAAAATGCTTATAATTTGATGAAGATATATAAGCAATCTGCTCAGCATACACATATGATAAAAGAGACTGAATCCTTACCGACTTTAACGTCAACATTCGGAATATTCAAACCCTTAGAACTGATTTAATAGAAACTGCTTTTAATGTCTATTGTTTTTAATCATAAGAAATCACTTCAATATTAGAGCTGAACACTAAAATAATCGTTTTTAAATCATTGAATATTGGGTAGTAGTGAAATCTAAGGCAAGCATTCTAACTCGTCAGCTACATAGACCTCAATCCTGGTGTTCATTTTCACATTGACATTTGACTCCAGCACCATTCACTTCAAATCCTAACGCGTTATACATTAAGCTATCAAATTCAGTCAATGATATAATTCGAAATATTTCTATTTTTCTCATTGTTGATGCTAAGAAATGTAGTTAATCAGTCTTTATTGGTATATAAACATTCTATATTCCATTCTTATTCATGATTTAACTTTTACAAAACTTTGTGATTCGATGACAGTGCAGAACCAATCCACTTATGATACACATATGCCAATTGAGAATGTGAAAATGTAAACCATTACAAATAAGAAATAATTTCTGAGTGGAAAAGATTGCAAGAACAATGAACCTCATTGAATTCATCGTAAAATCAATACCCACACTGTAAAAAAGACCATTAAAATAAGTATTCAACACATATTTGTAAGCGATGAGCTTCATAATGAGTTTCACAATGTTTTATCGTAACTCTATAAATTAGTGAAGTTAATTCAATGTTAAATAAGACAATAACCTATCAGTGTTATTTAATATGGATTACATTAACTGAAATAAATATTGACCGATAACTTATTGACTGTTGAATGCCATTTTCATAGTGAAATCGATACTATAAATTTCTATCATGTAAAACAATCATAATATCATCTTACTTGATTACATACGTCTGTTACTCCTAGTGAAGGAGCATAGGCCATCCACCAGCATTCTGCATTTAACTCTATCCTGAGTAATCCTTTCCAGTTGTTTCTAGTTGTTATTCATTCTATTCGAAGCAAGAAAAGTAGTTTCCATAATTACAGACAGCAAATAATGCGCGACGTAGACTTCTCTGGGACGACATTCGGAGAACATGTCCAAGCCACCGAAGTCGGTGTTTCAAGATGGTGACACCGATTGCATCATCGTCTCTGTGCCTGAACATACGATGCCGAACCTCTGCATTACTAACATGATGTTGCCACTGGATGTCAGCAATCCTTCGGAGACAACGATGATCGAACAAAGAGAGTCGTCTAACGTCCTCAACTCGGAGAGGCCAGGTTTCACAAACATAGAGCGAAACTGCTCTCACCGACGCGTTGTAGACCCGGCCGTTAACAGCCAGACTAACATCACGAAGGCGCCAAAGATGGCCCAGATTGGCATAATCCGCTCTGGCTTTCACTATACGTGCAATTATCTCATCACTAACACCCCCACCAGCACTTATGCAGCTACCTAGATACACGAACTTCTCGACTACTTCTATTTGCTCACCAACCCGGGTGAGTACAGGATTAGAATCCTGGCAGTCTTGTAGAAGTACTTTGCACTTCGAAGGTGCAAAGCACATACCATACCTACGGACATTGATTGCCAACTGATTAAGTGAGGATTGCATACCTTGGGCATTATCGCAAGGTGGGCAGTCGGTGTCACCATCTTGAAGCACCGACTTCGGTGGCTTGCACATGTTCTACGAATGTCGTCTCAGAGAATTCCACGTCGTGCATTATTTGCCGACTCTGGGACTGGTTGGAAAAAGCGGAGAGGTGGTCAGTATATGACATGGTGTCGTGGTATGAAAGAAAGCTGCAATGGGCAGGCTTGTGTTGGTCCTTGACGACTCCCTGGCTGGGGTCCGAGAGATGGTGCTACACAGTGGCTAGAGACGTTATCAGATATGACTCAGAATAGAAGCCAGTGGCGATCCTGCTGTAACCTTCTTTTACTTTCTTCGTAAAAAGTGGTTGCATCTTCCTTAACTGAAAGATGTTTTCTGATTGTACCTTTCCGTTCCCCCATTATTACCACTATTATTATTACACTACCTTACACCAATCTCTTCGTCATTGTTCCCTTCTTTTTTTTACGCTCCTTACCTTTTTTCTCCTTGTCTTTAAATCATCATTGTTCTGTGTGGCGCATATATATTTGGCGCACTCTTGTACCAATATTTATGTGTTCAAATAAAATAAATAAATAAATCATTCTATTCATGTCTGCTTCGAATTATCGACTCAGTTTGTTCTTTGGCCTTTTGCTTTTCCGTTTCCCTTTAGGATTCTAATTTAGCACTTGCCTCGTGATTCAGTTTGATGATTTGCGTAATGTATGTCTTATCCATTTCCAACGTCTTTTCCTAATTTCCTCTTCAGCTGGAAGTTGGTTTGTTCTCTTCCACAGTAGGCTGTAGCTGATGGTATCCGTTCGGCGGACATTGAGTATCTTGTGTTAACAATTGTTTATAAATACTTGTACCGTTTTGATTACGGATTTCGTAGTTTTCCACGTTTCAGCTCCGTGCAATGGAACTGTCTTCACTTTCGTACTACTATTATCTACCTGATAATATTTTCTTATAATTTCCAAAAAAAACGTTTAAGAGTTGGAGGGTTGTGGAGATTGTTAAGTTTCTGATTGAGATCATGAACCGATTGATGTTAGACCACCATTGGAAACCTGGAAGCACTTGAGAGCCGTTTCGTCCTATTGTGGGACTCCTCAGAAGTGCACATCCACGAATCCGCCCGCGGGATTCGAACTCAGGGCCTTCAGTCTCGCACGCGAACGCTTGACCTACTGGATCACTGAGTCGCCATCCAATGGTGTTAAGGTCTAAACTCAACCAATCCGCGAAATTGAACGACCATCTTCCATTGTACTGAGGTAGACACCTGTTTCTAACCGACATGGGTTAGCTCCACTTGTCACGGCTTCACACCAGAACTCCGAGAATTTTCTCACGAAGCTAGTCACCAGTGAGCATATGGTAATTATCAGTTCAGGGGTTGTGGAGATTATTAAGTTTTTGATTGAGATCATGAACTGATTGATGTTAGACCACCATTGAAAACCTGGGAGTACTTGATGGCCGTTTCGTCCTATTGTGTGACTTCTCAGCAGTGCGCATCCACGTCCAGTACTTCCAGGTTTTCCATAATGATCTAGCTTCAATTGACTCATGATTTCAACTATTGAAATGTTTATTTTAGTTTGACAATGACTTTGTTTTATTTGTAAAGTTAGTTACTTAGATATTTTCACAAAGAAAGAAATAAACAAACAAACACAACAACACCGTATATGATATAAAGTAAAAAATAAACAAGTATTGAGAAAATAGAGAAGAACAGAATATTAACATACTTATGTATGTATATGATAATGTAAATTAAATGGGATAAAATGAATTTGGAAGGCAGAATAGAATGAAACATAATTGAATAATATTACAATTCTGTCATTAAGAATAATAATAATAATAATAATAATAATCATATTCACAATATTCTATGACATTTGATAGTAGAAATCTATGACAATGAAGTTATTCACTGTCTAGCCTCTCCATCTCCTCTCCAAATGCTTTCACCATAAATGACAGTGAGTATGTGTTAGTGTTTGGGTATATCTCTCTATATTTGTTCGTATGTGTACTGGTGTATGTTCTGATGTATAAGCGTGTGTATATCTAATAATAATATGGTTGATAATAGTAATAATAATCATAGTACTCATGCTTGAATAAATAAAACTTCTGTTTGTGTTCTTTTTTTCTTTCTCTCTCTCTCTCCATTGTATACTGTTTTCTTTGTGATTATTTTTCTTGTGTTGTTTAGTGAAACACAACTCATCAGGATAATAGGGTAGTAGTATTTCATGTTTGTCAATGTTTGTATACTTATAGCATACTATTTCTGATTATATATTGCGTTTTCATTCCCATCTCATCTCAATCTTTCGTTTATTCATCATCATCATCATCATCCACATCATCATCTTCGATTTTTTTTTGCATGCGCTCAAAGTAACTGAGAAAAAATTCCTGTCACATTTGTTGATCTGATTCGATCAATAATTTTCTATGAAAAAAGAGTAGTATATATATGTGAAAAAAGATCAATTTATGCCATAGAAAGTCTAAATATGAAGTATAAACTGTTCTTGATCAATAATTAGTCGAATGGCGTGGAGAAAATCCTGGCTAGGGGAAGAATTGAACAACTGATTATATGTAATTTAGGGAGATTGAACTAATTCAGTGATTATAACAATACGTTCCAGTAGCAGTTAGATTCCCTGTTATATATATATATATATATCATTGAAATCACGAACCGATTCCAGATAGACAGCTATTGAAAACCTGGAGATTTGGTAACACTGGGTGACTGTTTCATCTTAGTATGAGACTTCTCATCAGTGCATACTCATGACCGACGTCATGCATGCAAACACTTAAACTATAGACCTTTGACCTGAAATCGGTTGGTGAACAAGTCTAACTCACGATATTGCACTACCATCTTCCATTGTCTTCGTTGCGTCTCTTCATTATGCCCAACACAATTGAACTCTATTTGGTCTCGCCTCAGTGATCTAGGGGTTAAGTGTTCGCACGCGAGACTTGGGTGGTGGATGAGTATTGATTAGAAGACCCATTCTAGAACGAAACAGTCATCCAGTGTATCCAAGTTTCCGTATTTTCGAAGGTTGTCTAACTGTGATTGGATTAGGATTTCAATCAAATTCAACAATCTTAAAAACCTCATAAAGATATAGATAAATTGACCTGTGAACCAATGAACATATCTGCATTTTAAACCTTACAAGAAAGGCAGTATTTGGGGAGTATGATAAATCCATTATTATGTTCTACTACTACTACTACTACTACTACTACTACTACTACTACTACTACTACTACTACTACTACTACTACTACTACTACTACTACTACTACTACTACTACTACTACTACTACTACTACTACTACTACTACTACTACTACTACTACTACAACTACTACTACTACTACTGTAGTTTCGGAAGACTTGTTACACAATTGTAGCGCATCATTGTCGGGAAATCACAATTTGTATATGACTAGTTCATTTTTGGTACAGAACTGAGCAATAGAAACATAGTAATTTATGAACCGTGATGGGTATGTCAACATTTCATGAATTAAAGAAGAAAAGACTCACAGTTAGAGCAATATCAAAATACTGTTAAATCAATTATTTAGTAAATACACCATAAACGCATATGTAATCATCCACTGTAAGTTAGTTCTCAAAATCCTACTTTTTTTACCTATGCTCCCGTATCTAACATTATGTAATCCAGAAACCTACTATATAAAGTCACAATCAAAGATACTACAACTGAGCCATTTATGTGTTGATTAAATTCTTACAGATGATCTGAAGCTTTCTGTTGATTGACTTTAGTCACTTAACATCATTTAGTCCTTTTCATTAAATAAAGAACGAATGAAAAAACAACAGGCACCAAACAAATAATGTTTTTTATTTACATTCTTATAGTTTATCAATCTAAAATTTGTTTTTAAGCATTGTCAGATAGGTGGTAGTAAGTTCTTCAAAACATAACATGTGATTGTCTTAAGAAAGTCATTTAGTTAATACTTATAATGAAACAGTTGCCAATTATAATATTTAATTTAAACAAATTTAAGAATAAAGTATACAAGATTATGTTTTGTCTAAGTAGATAAACTTGAAAATTGTCTGTCAGCTTTTATCATTACATGATTCTATATTAATTTTAAACAATCTTTTATCGCATATTAGTTGGTTTAGTTAAGCCGTTGATTGGCTTTATTTAGTTACTTACATACGTCTGTTACCCCTAATGGAACATAGGCCACCGACCAGCATTCTCCAACCCACTCTGTCCTGGGCTTTCTTTTCTAGTTCCATCCAATTCTTGTTCATTCTTTTATGTCTATCTCCACTTCTCGGCGTAATGTGTTCTTTGGTCTTTGGAATCTCTCGAGACGGGATCGTGGATGTACACTGCTGAGGAGTCCCACAATGGGACGAAATGGCTGTCCAGTGCTTCCAGGTTTTCCATGGCGGTCTAGCTTCAATTGACTCATGATCTCAACCATTAAAATTACTATAATATTCACAAAACCCCTTAAAATATGACATCAATCATTACACAGTGATTAAATATCTTATTCCTACGGTAGGTCAGGTAATATCAAAATAATTCATTGGTAATATCTCGAATTGTGAAGCTGAGTGATTCGGGCTCGAATGTTAAGGAGCCCATCAGTTAACTCAAATATTCAGGGGAAGCTAGTACAAAACCGAAGTTCTAGCGTATCCTAGTGATTTTCTTCAATCAACTGACATTTAAGTTTACTTCATCATCGAATTAAGTTACAACTACACACATATACATAGACATATATACAGAGTTAACGAAATGTCTTTTTATACCAGCTAAATTATAACATTAGATAAAGTAAATTATTTCTTTTAAAACTTTACAATTGCAGTTTGTAAAAACAAATACCTTCTGAATAGCATTAAGAAAGAAATTGATTGCATAACCTAAATACATTGGTCTATATTTGCGTACTATGATGATATAATTAGATATATGTTTAGTGATTAACACTTTTTCTATCCTTATTGTATATTCTATTCTATTCATTTGAGAAAAATAAATTTTCAAGAAGAGAAGAAAAGTGAGTGAGAGATAGACTGTGTTTCACTTTCTTCTAGATGTGATATTTGTCGTACTTAAGTTGATTTGTCGTGGGAATGATGTGTAAGGAATAATACTTAAGGTGGGATAAATTATGTTACTTACTTACTTACTTACTTACTTACTTACTTACTTACTTACTTACTTACTTACTTACTTACTTACTTACTTACTTACTTACTTACTTACTTACTTACTTACTTACTTACTTACTTACTTACTTACTTACTTACTTACTTACTTACTTACTTACTTACTTACTTACTTACTTACTTACTTACTTACTTACTTACTTACTTACTTACTTACTTACTTACTTACTTACTTACTTACTTACTTACTTACTTACTTACTTACTTACTTACTTACTTACTTACTTACTTACTTACTTACTTACTTACTTACTTACTTACTTACTTACTTACTTACTTACTTACTTACTTACTTACTTACTTACTTACTTACTTACTTACTTACTTACTTACTTACTTACTTACTTACTTACTTACTTACTTACTTACTTACTTACTTACTTACTTACTTACTTACTTACTTACTTACTTACTTACTTACTTACTTACTTACTTACTTACTTACTTACTTACTTACTTACTTACTTACTTACTTACTTACTTACTTACTTACTTACTTACTTACTTACTTACTTACTTACTTACTTACTTACTTACTTACTTACTTACTTACTTACTTACTTACTTACTTACTTACTTACTTACTTACTTACTTACTTACTTACGGCTGTTACTCCCAATGGAGTATAGGCCACCGACCAGCAATTTTCAAACCACTCTGTCCTGAGCCTTTCTTTCTAGTTCCATCCAATTCTTGTTCATTTTTCTCATGTCTATTTCCATTTCTCGGCGTAATGTGTTCTTTGGTCTTCCTCTTTTCCTTTGGCCTTGAGGATTCCATGTGAGGGCTTGTCTTGTGACGCAGTTGGGTGCTTTCCTCAATGTGTGTCCTATCCACTTCCAGCGCTTCTTCCTGATTTCTTCCTCCGCTGGGATCTGGTTTGTTCTCTCCCACAGTAGGTTGTTGCTAATAGTGTCCGGCCAACGGATCCGAAGTGTTTTGCGTAGACAACTGTTAATAAACACTTGCATCTTCTGAATGCTGGCTTTCGTAGTTCTCCAAGTTTCTGCCCCATACAGTAGAACTGTCTTGACATTTGTATTGAAAATCCTGACTTTGGTGTTGGTTGACAGTTGCTTTGAGTTCCAGATGTTCTTCAGTTGTAAATATACTGTTCTTGCTTTGCCGATCCGCGCCTTCGCATCTACATCAGATCCACCCTGCCCAAATATGTAAAGGTTTTTCTATCCTCCAAATCTGCTTCATCAAGTGTGATTTGATTGGTGCATGCTGTGTTGTATGGGAGAACCTTGCTTTTCCTTTTGTGTATATTGAGACCTACTGCTGCTGCTACACTGGTCGTTTTCTCCTGCATTTGTTGTTGCGATTGCGATAGAAGGGCCAGATCATCTACGAAGTCTAGATCGTCCAGCTGCTTTCTAGCTGTCCACTGTATCCCATGCTTCCCCTCAGATGTTGACGTCTTCATGATCCAGTCGATCACCAGTTGAAAGAGAATGGGTGAGAGTAAGCAACCTTGCCTGACACCGATCTTCAACTCGAAAGAGTCTATCAACTGTCCTCCATGCACAATTTTGCAGTGTAATCCATCATATGAGTTCTGTATGATATTGACTATCTTCTGAGGCACGCCGTAGTGTCGAAGAAGCTTCCATAGTGTTGTTCTGTCCACGCTATCAAATGCCTTTTCGTAGTCAATGAAGTTGATGTAGAGTGGTGAATCCCATTCAATTGATTGTTCCACAATGATCCGTAGAGTTGCGATTTGGTCTGTACACGATCTATCCTTACGGAATCCTGCCTGTTGGTCACGAAGTTGGGCGTCTACAGAGTCCCTCATCCTGTTTAACAATACCCTGTTGAAGACTTTTCCCGGTATTGAGAGAAGAGTGATGCCCCTGTAGTTATCACACTTGCTGAGATCGCCCTTCTTCTGTATTTTGATCAGGAGTCCTTCTTTCCAGTCTTTTGGTACTTGTTCCTCATCCCAAATCTTATTGAAGAGAATGTGGAGTATCCTTGCAGTTGCCACTACGTCTTCTTTTAGTGCCTTTGCTGGAATGTTTTCCGGTCCTGCTGCTTCGCCACTCTTGATTTGTGTGATGGCCATGCTGATTTCTTCAATTGTTGGTGGGCTAACATTGATTGGGAGGTCCGTGGGTGCTGCTTCGATGTTGGGTGGGTTCAGTGGGGCTGGTCGATTCAAGAGTTCTTTGAGGTGTTCTATCACCTGTTTCGTTGGTCTTCAATGTTGGTGATTACCTTGCCTTACTTGCTTTTCACTGGTCGTTCTGGTTTGCGGCGATTTCCAGACAGTCTCTTCGTTGTGTCATACAGTTGTTTCATGTTTCCTTCTCTTGCAGCCTTTTCTGCCGTCATCGCTAAATCTTCTACATATTTACGTTTGTCAGTTCTAATGCTCCTCTTCATTTTCTTGTTTGCTTCTGTGTATTCAGCTTTTGCCTTGGCTTTTCTACTCTTGTTCGGCTGGTTTTGAATGCTGCCTTCTTTCCTGAATCCAGTGTATCAATAGTTATCCATCCCTTGTGATGTTGCTTCTTGTGTCCCAGAACCTCACGACATGTTGAAGTGATTGCCTCTTTTATCCCTATCCAGTAACTCTCCATTGAGTAGATCATGAAAGGCCTGAAACTTATTGCTGAGGGCAATCCTGAATTTGTTGAGTTTGTCAGTATCCCGAGGAAAAGCCGTATTAAACTTTTGAGCTGTTGTCCGCCCCGTTGTCCGGTGCTTCTTAAGTTTCAACTTCATCTTGGCAACCAGCAAGTGATGATCTGAGGCTATATCAGCTCCTCTCTTGGTCCTCACGTCCCCCATCGTCCTCCTGAATGTTTTGTTGATGCAAATATGGTCGATTTGGTTTTGTGTGGTGTGATCCGGTGAAGTCCATGTGATTTTGCGAATGCGTTTATGTGGGAATATGGTGCCGCCTATGACCAGTTTGTTGAAGGCAAATAGGTTTGCAAATCTCTCACCATTTTAGTTCCTTTCTCTCAGTCCGTGTCGTCCCATGATGTCTTCATATCCGGTGTTGTCCATTCCAACCTTGGCATTTGAATCTCCCATCAGAATGGTTAGGTCCTTTGTTGGGCAGCTTATTGTAGAATTGATCTTTGGAGTCTTCAATGTAGTGATTGTTAGGCACATAACATTGGATGATGTTCATTAAAGTGCCCTCTTTCTTTGTTTTGAAGAAGGCTTTGACGATCCTGGGTCCATGAGATTCCCATCTTATAAGTGCATTTTGCACTTG